AGAGAGTGTTCACCACTGTCAGGAAAGATGTCTTGGGCAAGGTCCAAATGGAAGAGGGAGTCCTTCTAGATAGTGAACTAGAGGAAAGATCTTCCAGGTCCTTCATTGGTTGAGTATGACTTTGTGCTGATTGCATAAAGCCAACCCCACTCCAAAATTACAGAACTAAGTCCTCAGTGAAATTCAAGAGTGTTCAAAAGAGATTAGCTTAACAATCCATGTAGAAAAAAATGCATGAAAAAAGGCTCTTAGATAGACTGTACCATGCAGTTGAATAGCTGATCCACTGAGTACATATAATAAATTCAATACATACATACATACATACATCTGGGATAGGTAACATAGATGGACAATGAGTGAGACTCAGAATTAAATGGGAGAAAAAGAGCAGGGTGGGTTGCATTTGGGAAATTGTGCAAACCTTCTAATGATCCCAAGTGGTTCCCATGTAAAGACCCATCTTTTCAACATAAATGTTCTCCTGTTAATGCTCTATAGTTGTAAACCTTGGAGTAACAAAAATCTGAGTGATTAAAGTTGCAGATAACCCAGAGAGTAACGGAGATTCTCATGATCAATGCAAGTGGACTGCAACACAAATGTGATGATGAGTTCTGCTGGCAAAGTGATGGAAGGTATTTTCTTTTTCAGGAAAAGTATGATCTAGATGAATTAGTCATGTGGAAAGAGAAAGACATGACAGACAGTTCCCCATTGGTATACTTCAGTGTCAAAAAAAACCAAGGGGAAGGTCTTCAGTACATTGGTGGGTTGATCTTGAAACTGAACTAAGATCTCCTAGGTGGTTCTCTGATCTCACAGAAAAGTGACTGAATCAGGTCAGAGGTATCTTGGGTTGATCTGCTTTGGTCAGATCATATCTGGAACATTATATTCAGTTCTAGGTAATACCTTTTAAGAAATACATTGATAAGGTGGAAAGTGTCCTGAGAGAGAACAACCAGGATGATGAAGGGGCTAGAGTTCATGCTGTATGAGGATCAGTTGAAGAAAATGGGGATGAAAAGAAGACATAAAAGCGTACATAATAGCTGTTTTCAAATGTTTGATGAACTGTCCTGTGGAGGGAATAGCTGTATTCTTCTTGGCTCCACAGGGCAAAGCTAAGAGCAATGAGTGGTAGTTGCAAAAAGTTAATTCAAAGTTAATCCAATTAGATTTGATTTCCATAAAATTTCTTAACTATTGGAGCTAACTAAAAGTGGAACAGGCTGCCTCAAGGACTAGTAATTCCCCTTACTTGTCCTATAGGTCATAGAGAGATCCTTTTTCAGGTACAGGCTGATCTGAAGTCCCTTCTGACTCCTCAGATTTTTGTAATTCTGTGACACCAGTCATGATTCAGGATTTAACTAATCTGGTCTGGTCTGGTCTTTGGAATGCACCCTGTGGCATTTTCTCATGCTATTTGATGACTCTGACCTTGGATACCATGGCCTCTTGTTCCAAGAAACAGATGACTGGAAAAAGTCACCAATTACCATTTAATAATGTTTCCTCTATGATTTAACTTACATGACTCTTAGTTTTCCAAGGAGCATATTGTATGATGGATACAACATGACTTTGGGGATCTTGAAAAGAAATACCTTTTTTTTTTCAACCGCTGCCTTCGTCTTCCTTTCAAAATCAAGGATGGGATATACATTTTATTTTGAGCCTTCAGGAAACAGATTTTACAAAATCATAAGAACTTTTCTAAGTCTTTAGTGTATAGTATCTTCCACTCTGACTGACTAGGATGACTTTACAGCAGAGTTAATTCTTTAAACATTTCAGCACTAATTGTTTGCCAGAGATTTATTTCAGCTTTTTGTCTGCAGATCATCAAACATACGAACAAATCAAATTAGAATGCACAAACAGGTGTGTATTGCTAAATTCCAGAACACTATTCTTTATTCTGCAAACAAGAAAAACTATGTTAGACCTTGAATCTCTCCCAGGACTGTAGACAAATATCAGCAATTAGAATTGTGGAGTTTCTGGCTTATAAACTACTCTCTCTCTCTCTCCCTTTTTTTCTTTTCCTTATTCTCTTTCTCCCCAATGTATAATATGATATTAAATAATATATTTAATATATCACTATAACATATATTATTTTAATATTTCATATATAATAGGACCTTTCTTTCCATGAGGAAGTCAGACAGCCTAATAGAAATTATTTAGTTCAACCATGAACTCTCTTTGCAATGGGTCTGCTATATAACTTGAACAAATTATTTAACCTTTCTGTTTCTTATTTTGTAAAACCAGGGATATGATTTTTGACCTTTCTGGATCCTGTGGGGAGTAGAAGGAAGTGAATCTGAAGTGTTTCCTGTTTTATAGAACTTTGTACCCTTGCCTCAGGAACATGCGCTCTTGAATCAGCAGCTTGGTTGATTCCTTTGATTAAGTTTACTTCTGCTGACTAGTGGCACAACTCTTTGACCCTGGACTGACTTCGGATTGTTTGCTTTTTGTCTAATTCCTCTTTTGCCTTTGACACCCCCCCAACTTCCCTTACCCTATGAACCCCTCAGAGCTTTTGTTGAAATAGCTGCTCTGAATTGGACTGAAAAAAATGTCAAAATAGAGGCTACACTTAGGGAATTATAAACTATAATTAATACTTCTTGTCTGTCTAGAGCACGCAATTATACCATAGGGAACTCCAGAACTTGTGGGCTGGAAGTGTATCATTGTTGTCTTTGTAATCCTAGTGCCTGCTACCTAGTAGGCACTTAATAAATGCTTGTTAATTGATTGATTCCCATGGAGCATAGTGACCTACTGATATGTAGGAATTTTTTCTAGGAGGAAATTTTAAGATTCTAGCAAGTGAATTCTTCCTCAGATTTTCAGTTTTTATGGTTATTTTAGATGTTGAAAAATGGTGTCCATCTCCAAAGAAAGAACTGATAGAGTCTAAATGCAAATCAAAGTATACTTTTAAAAACTTTCTGGTTTTTTTTTTTTTTGGTCTGTGTTTTCTTTCACAACATAACTAATACAGAAATATGTTTTGCATGACTGTACATGTATAATCTATATCTAATTGTTTGCCCTCTCAGGGAGTGGGGAAAGGAGGAAGGGAGGGAGAGAATTTGGAACTCAAAATTTTAAAAAACAAAAGTTGAAAATTATTTTTGCATGTAATTTGAAAAAATATATAAAATTTTTCACATTAAAAAAAGAAAGGTATTCATGTATTGATTCCTAAAGGAGGGAGATTTGAAGCAGTGTTCTGACAGTCACTCTGTTAAACGTTGTCAGATTTTAAGACCATGTTCTACCTCTTGTGGCCACAAAACAAACGTTAGATAGTGTATAGATTCAACAGTCACTGCTATTTTTAAAAAAATATATTTTATCGATGCCTTTATATTACAATCATTTGTGTACTGGTGCTGCTAGGTGGAGTAATAAATAGAGTGCTGAGTCTGAAGGCAGGAAGATCTGAGTACAAATCCCACCTCAAACATTTATTAGCTGTGTGACCCTGGACAAGTCACTTAACCTCTGGTTCAGTTTCCTTTGCTGTAAAACGGGCATAATAATAGCAACTACCTCTCAGGGTTGTTGTGAGGTTAAATTGAAATAAAATTTGTAAAGTACTTTGCAAACCTTAAATCACTATATAAATGCTAGTTGTCATTATCATCTTCTTCTTCATCGTCATCATCATCAAAAAGAACTGCCTCCTTTTTTTTTTCCATGTTGATCAGTGCCATCTTTAATTAGCTGGATATGTAAGATATGTAACTCCTAACAGGTTTGCAAGTGAAATGCTTTCTCTAGACTCAACCATGCTTTTTTAAATAAGGCTAAGCAATCTTAACAACCTCCACAGGAATTCTGTTTCATTTAGAGCTGCGGAATTGGGCCTTCTTGTGTTTAAGAATACATTTTGATGAATTTATAACTGATCTCTTTTCTTTCCAAGCTGGATTCAACAGTCTTTCCTGAACTGGGACTTTGTATACAAATCTGTCAAGTAAAAAATATAACTGTCTGTATTAGGGATAGTTGTTCCCTCTTTCTTTTAATAGTTCAGTGAATTTCTTCTTGCTTCATAGACATTTGGTATTTAAAACTGCAGGGAAAGAAGATAGACTTGGAGGTCTTTACTGGTAAAAGTAGAATGAATTTCCCCAGTTGGAGAGTTCTAGTAATCCAAAAGAAGTAAGAGAAAGGTGACAGTTATTTAATCAATAGATAGATATGTTGAATATTCCTCAGGTTCATGGCTCACTACTAAATCCTCAGGATGATGTCCTTATGATAAAAATCTCTGTGCTGCCTTTCTTCCCTGCTTTCCCCTCCCTTCCTTTTCCCTCTCCCTTCTATTTTTCCTCTTTTTTTCCTACCTTCCTTTCTCCCTCCCTCCATCTTTTCCTTCCTTTCTTCCTTCTTTCTTTCCTAATAAGAATCTTATCACCAATGATATTCTTTTTGTTAAGTCTTTTGAATGAAGTACTTTCTATTCTATGACTTTTTAAAGGTCTTAAGATAGTCCAATGTTGTGTGGAGTCAAACTGGAATAGGAGTGTTTTTTTAAGGTCTTTAATCTCTACATTCTCAATGATTCTTCAGCAAAGGTCTGGTGATAACTTGGCATTCTTCTGCCACTCTATCCTAGATACTTTATCTTTTCCCTTGCTATTATATAATTCCCTTGACAGTGATATAGGATAGTAAAATCAGATGACTGAAGAGCAACAGAAAAAAGAAAAATCTTTTAGAAAGAACATTTAAAATGAAATTGAAGTTTGGCAGTCTCCAAAGAAGAGATCCCAGGGTTTTGTAGGTATATACAGAACACTGGGAAATATTCAGTGAAGAGGATTTTAAAATTATTTAATATCACTTTTTAGGAAATTCCAGTGGAAGCCACTATCTTAGATTTGGAACTAGAATTTTGCATTTGGTCTGAAACTACATTAAATATATTTTTGGTCTAATTTTATTCATTCTTCCTTAAACAGTTCCATTCATTGGCACCCATGTACTATCGGGGATCTGCAGCAGCTGTTATAGTGTATGATATCACTAAACAGGTAAGATTGGCCAAATTGAGAAATAATGTATTTCTCCTGACTTAGTATGTGAGGAAGGCCAGGACTCACTCTCTTACTTGGGTCTTTCAAATGTACAGTGGTGGAGTTTATTAGTATGCAGCCTTGCATCAACAGGAAGTAATGATCCTCGGGAGCCAAAGTGGGCTTTTCCATATTGCTTTTATTTCCCAAAGGTCTCGGTGCATGTAGATACACATCCTATCCAGAAATAAATGAGCAAACCAAATCTCATAGAGAGTGGCTGCTTATTAACTTTAAGAAAATATTTTACTTGGACCGTTTATTTGTAGATAGAACTTTGAGAGTCTTCTTGACCAAGTTTTTACTTGTGAAGGCAGAAAAGAATTTGTTTTGCAAAGTTTTGCATATGGTTATAAAATTCCTATTTTCTGTCAATATTCCTATGGCTCTTACTACAGGAAATTTATGATCTTAAAACCCAGAGGTAATATTTATGTATATATATATATATGTATATATATATATACACACATATATACACACACACACACATATGTGTATGTGTGTACACACACATATATATGTATATAAATCTGACAAAGTGAGGTTACAGGATGTGCATTAATGGAACTTTACAGCAGTTTGCTGACATTTTATTTCTCTCCTACAAATTGAATTATTTACTTTTAGTTTTGAAAGGCTGACTCAGAACACTAAGGCATTAGTTTAATGACCCATCACTGATACCATTTATGAATTTGTGCCACTTTTTGCTTCTATGTTCTGTGTTCTTTGGCTCAGTGACTGGAGGGAGGGTATGAATGAAGGACAAAAAAGAAAAACAGACTTCAGAGCACATAAGCTGTTCCTCCTATTGAAGCAAACATGAAAGGAGCCCTCCATCCCAAACAGGATATCATCAGCCTTGTTATCTCTATTTATATAGTGTATAGGATACAACTTTAAAGAAATATTAACTTACAGAAAAAAGGGTTAGTAGAAAACCTTTTCACCTCTTTCAGAGGTTTAATTTTATTCTGCGAATGAGCTTCATATTTTTATAGTATTATTGATCGCTTTTGTTTTTATATCATACTCATTTCTCATTTGCTTCATCCCCTCCTCCACCCTGACCTTATCATAGAAACTTGTCTTATAACAACAAAAACAACAACAAAACAATACAACAACAAAATTCCAATAACACAAAACTGGCCAATTCAGTAACCATATTCAATTACATTTTATGCAATAGTCCCTTACTTTTCTATTGAGAAGAGGGAATTATGTTAAATGTTTCGGATTGTGTGAAAGAATGAATTGTATTTTCAATGATAGTTTTATATTTACATAAAACAGAGAAGTAGCATAAGTCACATTATTCAAGAGAGCCACATGAAAACTCTTTCTTCACCAAACTGGAGTGCACTTGTAATGGCAAGACAATGTTGGATTATAAACAGATTCAAAGAAACTTTCTGAATAATTTGCTTATGCTTTTGATTTAGGATTCTTTTAATACCTTGAAGAAATGGGTGAAAGAATTAAAAGAACATGGTCCAGAAAACATTGTAATGGCCATCGCTGGAAACAAATGTGATCTCTCGGATATTAGGTAATACATACATATATATGCATATGTTTACTTATATGGGTGCAGTTATGGATTATCCTATTAATACTTATGTGCAAATTGAGAAGGTTATGCCAGTGGTGCTACTTCTTAATCTAATCACTTATTTGACTAGTGTCTGATCTTTTCATTCTGGGTCCTGTAGTCCAACCTTTTTATTTTCAAGATGAGAACACTGAAGTCCATAGTCATCAAATGACTTGTCTAAGGCCACATGGCTACTTTACAAGAGGATCTAAGTTTCCAGACTCTTAGTCCAGTGGTCTTTATTCTATTCATCTACCTTGAATAAACAACTATAAATTTGAGAATGAGTTTATCAGTTGAAAAATCAAATCTGCTAAATGTTGGTCAACATTAGCTGTGCCATATAACAGTGACTCAATTATCCTACAGTTAGATTTAGAGCAACTTCAGATTTCCAAACATAGCTGGGTACCTGGCAGTAAGACCCTGATCAACCTTAGCTATCCAAAATATAGTTATGTACCTAGAAGGAAGGGACAGAGTCTTTGAAGGATGAAAAAATATTTCTATGGGCATTCTATTCATTCTGCTTTTTTTCTGTAATTTCCCCCTTATCCCACTGCTTCCTCATAAATAGTTTTAGACATTTGCAACGTGGGTTTTTAGGTCTCCAACTGAAATGAACCCCGGCAGGCCTGAGTATGTAAGTATCTGATGAAAGTACTCTAAAACAAATTGAAAGGGCCAAAGATGGATGTGTAGAAAAAGGTCACAAGGTGAATACCACAGCTTCCAGCTAAGATACATCTCTCTGGTGTGCCAGTTTCATTGAGTAGAGATGAGGTGGTAAGCCTTATTAAGGGAAGAGTTGAGGCTGAGCAGTCTACAGCAACAAGACTGTCCATGAAATTACTCCTTTACCCATTGAACAAATGAAGTGTCAATTCCATGTGTACTTGTACACTCTGCCCTTCAGGGATCCCAGGGACTAAAGGTGTACACATATACCTAGAAACAAACATACTTTGCGTCTGTGTGTATTTTATAAATAGCAACTGAGGCAAACAGGGTTAAGTGGTTTGTCCAGGGTCATACACCTAGTGAGTGTTGGGGGCTGGATCTGAACTCATGTCTTCCTGATTCCAAGCCCAGTGCCCTATACCCTGCACCATCTAGCTGCCTTCTTACAGCTAGCTTTATCTTTTTACAAGTGCAGGGCTCTTAAATTATAGAAAATTACCCTATGAAAATTATAATCAATTACTGCATGATATAGAAAGAGGAAGCAAATTTGTCCAAGTGAAAAATACTGTGATCTCTCACTGCATCCAGGGCCATCTCCAGTCGTCCTGATCTCTATCTGGCCACTGGACTCAGATGGCTCTGGAGGAGAACAAGAGGCTGGTGACTTTGCACAGCCCTGTCTCACTTAAATCCAATTCACTTGCAAGTCATGGCATAACCTTCCTGATGTCATGGTCCTCTTTAAGAATGAAGAACAAACAACAACAATTTTATAAATGCCTATGAACAACAGCTTCAAAAAATAATATTGGGACAATTTCTAAGTAATATCCTACAAATAGTAAATGTACTTTATTCAAAGATGTCCTATAACATTCTTCCTGTTCACTATGAAATCCCTAGAAAAAGCCATCTAGGGGTATCACTTATATTTTCTCACCAAGGTCTATTAATCTCCAGATCTTTTTATTAATCTCCAGGCCTTTTCTCAGGCCTTATATTTCTTGACATCTCTGTAGCATTTGACACCATTGATCACCTTCTCCTTCTAGAAACTATCTCCTCCTTGGCTTTTCATGATGCTACTTTCTTCTGGTCCTTCTCCTATCTGCTTGGAAGCTTTCTTTCAGTCTCTTTTGTGGGATCATTATCTCTGTTCTGCTCTATATGCATGGTTGTACCCCAGGGTGCTGTCCTGGGTCCTGTTCTGTTCTGCGTCTTTTCTTTCAGTGCTCTCATTGGTTCCCATCAGTTCAATTATCATATCTATGCCACTGATACCCAGATCTACGTATCCAGCCTCAGTCTCTTTCTTGAACTCCAGTCCCTTATTACCAGCTGCCTATGGGACATCTCCAAATGGATGTCACACAGGATCTCAAACTCATTATTCCCAAAACAATTCATTTCCCTTCCTTTGTCCTAATCCTCCCTTTTCCTAATTTTTTTATTTCTGTTGAGGGCATAATTATCCCAGGTTTAAAACTCCGGAGTCTTAAGTTGTGGCATAGGTTATTTTTTGTTATATTTGAATAGTATACACAAGCATTAGCCTCATCTTTAAGGGTGAAATACAGCAAAATTTGTATGGTGAGCATACTCTAATATAAACAAACCTGATATATGGAAAAATCCAGATTTATATCAAGGATTATTAGAAGGGTCTCTTTACTTTATAAAAAGGTTAGAGATACATTGTAGTATAGTAGAAAGAACATGAGACTTGGAGACAAACACCCCAAATTCAAGTCTCTGCTCTGCTTTTTACTACCTTTGTGACCTTGCCCAAGTCACTACCCCTCTATAGGCTTCAGTTTCCTAATTTGTAAAAAAGAGAGGGTTGAACAAATTAATTTCTTAAGGTCCCTTCCAATGTTAAATGTAGAATTTGTGATAAGATTTCTTTAAATAGCAAGCTCTTAGTATATTTAAAATGTTTCAATTTACACAAAACTATGTAATGTTGATTTTTTTTTTTGTACTTGACATGGCCCTCAGAATTGTGTATATGGACTACATATGTCTAACCCTTGACCCTGCAGCATCCTAAGGAGGCAGTAGCTCTTAACTTCTCTGTCAGTGCCTCACTGGCCACCTGTAATTTCATTGTTATGGGGGTTCTCTCCCTTGACTCAGATTATAGACCCTTTGTAAGTTAGTAGATAGAATCTGACAGCTGCTGAGGCTGAAACAATTCCTTACCTTGAAGCTAACCTGGTGATAAATCCTTTAAAATTAACCTTGGGGAAAAAACATACAGTCCATAAGTAGGCCCACCAATTAGTAAATTGACTAACTAGGATCATGTTTAAATGTCTATGATCCATTTTAATCCTTGGTTCCTTGAACCATGAAGTCCATAATTTATCGTTATTGATATATACATACATATAATAGTAATATTAACAATAATATTAGCTAGCATTTATATAGTGCTTTAAGATTAGCAAAATGCTTTACAAATATTATCTCATTTGATCCTGACAACAAGCCTGAGAAGTAGGTGCTATTGTTATTCTCATTTTACAAATAAGGAAACTAAGGCAAAAAGAGGTTAAATGACTTGCCTAGGGTCACACAACCATCAAATTTTTGAACTCGTCTCCTAATACCAACTCCAGCACTCTGTCTACTGTGCCACCTAACTACACATATATTTCATTGTATTTTATAAGAGAGCAACTGTGCCAGAAGTAACCCAGGGCATACAGTTATTTCCTCATTAAATTTGTGAAGTTCTGAATCCCCTTAACTCCTTACCTAAGCAATTAGTTAATTTGTCTGCTAAGTGGTTTGAATTCAACTAACGTTTATGAAATGTAGTTAAGTGTTCATTTTGTATTTCCCCTTCTGGATGTAAGCTCGATGAACTCTCATTTCCACATCTTTTTCTTTATAGATTTTCTAGTCCTTAGTTCTGTACATAGTATGTGCTTAATTCATTAATGTAAACATTATTGTATAAGGTACTGTATTTGGCCTTATAGAAGAAATAAAGATGAATTAGACATGGTCCTATCCTCAAACAGCTTCTAGTATGATAAGGGAGATAATATGTGGACCCAGATAGATATGTTGGAAGGTAGGTTATAATAAGTACCACAAAAAAGGCATAAACAAAAGTGCTTTGAAAGTATAAAGAAGGGAGAGAGAGATTTTTGTTACGGGGATTAACAAAGTTTCATAGAAGAGATGGCATTTGAAGAGGGCTTTGAAGTATGTGTAGGATTTCCACAGGTAGAGATAAAGGTTGGGGAAGATATCCAGGGAGAGGGAAAGACAAAGTCAGGGAAAGCATAAAAGGTGATTTTTCAGAAAGGTGGTCCTAAGCTATTGAATAATCATTCATCAAAATAGAATAAGACCCTAATTAATTGTTCAGTTGGCATTCCCAGAATCCTAAGAAGGATAGTAACTCTCTTGGGGTTATAACTAAACCATATACTCATAATTTTGCCTTTTCAGATGGGGTTAGTATACTCCAGAATTATTCCTTTCCTTTTTCCATCACTCCATATGAGAATATGTTTTATTTGGATATTTGATCTTTTTTACTGATATGAGCCTGGATAGAGTTCTGGGGAAATTTGTTATTACCCAGAACTGTCAGCTATGACCCTCCTAGAATCTAATGTGACTTTAGTCCTTTACTTGATATGTCAGCTGTCACCCTTGTCGCTCAGAGATTCATGAAAATGTGTGCCTTGTCACAGAGAGATCTCTACCTACATAATGTTCATTCAGCAGGAACAGGAATTAACATCAACATCCTTCTCTGCAGGAAAAGAGAGTGAATTACAGACTTACCTGACTATGTAACAATGCATTTTAAAACTAAGTTTTCCTTTCACTTATGGCATAGTGCTGCGCAATTTAACCAATTCAACAAACATATATTATAATGCCTACTATGTGTAATGCACCATATTAGGGAATACAGTGATAAAACAAAACAATAAAACAACCCAATCCTTGCTCCCGAGAAGCTTAAATTCAACTTTGGTCATACAAGATCTAAATAAATTACTATTATGTTTAGGAGTATTTGAGGCTAGAATGAGCAATGCCATGTATTTAGTTGATATTATTGTTGTTGTTATTTCTGCCACCAGCACTATTTGAGGTGATCCCTTTGGTTGGACAAAATGAATCCTTCATGTTCTGTATGACATAGTTATTTAGTTAAATCAAGCATTCCTAGTGAAGTAAAACTCCAACTTGTAACTCAATGTTAAAGTTAGTCCTAGGTCATCTCTTAAGACTTGAGACAT